ATGCTCCTAGTATAATTTCAACCTTTAAGAGCAAATAAGGAAGAATAAATTATTATTATTGTAAAATTTACATTGATGTAAACATATGGTAAATTAATAATAATTATAATAAATTAAAATTGATTAGATAATAGTTACTTTTTCATAATTAAATCAACTTTCTTATTTGATATAAATAATTACCTTATTATTTTTAAAAATCACGTTTGTTTTGTATTAAGCAATTACAATTGTAAATATATTTTTTGAAAACTAAATTAGATTAAGAAACAAAAAAAACATAGACGTTCAAAAATATAGACAAATAATATCAATTAATATGACATTTTTTAAGAGTTTATATTATTTTTAAATCCAGTAAGCTTAAGTTATCATTATTTTAGCACTTAGCTAAGAAATCATTTAAATACGCTAGCTAAAATTTTTCATTTTCCATCAAAGCAAACGATTTTTCATAATGACTCAAACTATGTTATTATTCTTTATTTATATTACAAAACTTTATTCAATTATTTCATTTTTTGATGAAAAAAAATAATTGATAAATTAAATAAAAAAACAAAATATTACCTAACTACTTAACACTTTCAAAGTTATCATTTAAATTCAAGTCTAAAAATTGTTATGAGCAACTAATAACTTAAAGAGCAGCCAGTTATTCTTGACTTAACATCATCAATACAGCTTTCTTTAAGAATAAAATATCCTTCACAAAATTTAATATATTCAGTTCTTTTTGAATTTATTGCTCAACTCTCTTCATTGTTTGATTATTTTTATATTAATTTTTGCTTTTTAAAAACACTTTTAGATGTTTTCTTAAGTATAAATTAAAGGATATCTGCTGTCATTTATGATTTTTTAAGCAGGAGTTTAAGGAATACTATCATCTGTAAACTCTTTCTTTTAGCTTTCTGTAATTACTTTTCTAAAATCTTCGCACATGTATGGAAGAAGTGCCTTAGTAGGACTTGTCATATAAATAGGACCATCATAATTATAAATTTCTGTAAAATAGGGAAGCGCACCAATATGATCTAAGTGAAAATGAGATATTAAAACTAAATCTATGATCTAGTCCCACTTTCTTTTTTCAGGAATATTCCAAATTTATTTTATCTTTTCGAAATCTGGATATCTTGTTAAATCATTTACACCCATATGCAAACCACAGTCTAACATTATAATTTTATCATAAATTTTAATCAAAATACAACTGCGCCCTACATCTTGTCCCGCACCCAAAGGATAAACCTCTATACAATCTTTAACGTTTTTCAAATCCATAATTTGAAATATTGAAGTGATAAAAATTATGCTTATTAATATTTATTTTGAATGTGTCTATAATCTAATTTAAAATTCTCAAAAAGATACAGTAAATATTTTATCAAAAACAATATTAAAAACAATTTGCATAAATTTTTAATA